ATGCCATCAACACTGGATATTATATATATATACTTATAGCTCTGCTTCATAACATTGAGAACTGTATTTATAACACCTGATGAAGAAATATATTTATACATTGCCTTTAATATGTCACGTGAGTGACACATTTTCCAGACCTTCTTTTCTCATTATGCATCGCAGAAATTTCAACTGTTTCTTTTTTATTTTATTCATAACTAGCAAGCTAGGTTAAAACTTCATTTTAACGTCATTTTGACTTTGTATTCAGTTTCATAATTTCATAAGGCCAGTTTCATAAGGACCGGTAATCCATGTTTGACATATCTGTTAATGTTGTCTCCCTTCCTTCCTAATTTCTACTGATTTTCATCCTTTATTTTCTTGATGTAAAAAATTGGACATACTGTTTTAGCCATTTTAAAAATATTATTTTTATTGTTGCTTTATATAACTGAGATCTGAAACGTTACATAATTTTTTTATTTAAAAAAAGTGTTTTTTATTGTTGGTTTTTTTTTATGACAAATGTCACCCTCTAGAGCAAAGTAGCTTGATGGTGAAGATCAAATTCCTTTCATTGTCGAATAAAATTAAAATGTTATTTCTTCTATAATATTCACCATATTTTATAATAATTATTATTCAAGTCTAATTTAAATAAAATTCTAAATCAGAGTATTTGTAGATTTTTGCAAACATTTTTTGACAAATTTTATAATCACAATAAAAGTTATAATCTCTACCAGCACACTGTCTTATCAGTACATTAAGCCTGACCTTATGTTGCATCCTGTCACACTTGGGAGACATAGGTAAATATCAAGAAAGACATAAAAATCTTATGTCCACCTATCTTTTATCATCTTTCATTTGTGTCTCTGTCTTCAGGCAGAGTGCGATTCAGTTGTGGCACCGTCTGCTGACAGAGTCGCAGCTGAGGAAAATAAATATTGTGATGTGCCTAGCTCCAGGGAATAGCCACCTGAGGCTGCACCCCTACTGTACTTGAGTGGGGGGATCGGAAAGTGTTATAACATGCTTCATAGTGCTTATAATATAAGTAATGCTTCGGTAAGTTGCCATGACGCTTGACTTACTTAGTCTGAAGACTAACTCCAAATGGTTTCTTCTTTCCCTACCTCTGATCTGGACCTCATTATTTAGAGTTATGGACTAGTTCATATAGTCACAGGGGTGGGGGCACTGTTTACTCCACAACATCATCCATTTTGAGATTCATACTTTTTATAAATATTTTATTTTTTATTAGTATTAGTATCTCCACCTCCTCTTCCTGGAGAATTCACCAACATACTTGACTTTGTAGCATTGCTGCCTCAGATCCACTTCCAGTTCTCCAGTATGCTTTCTTTTTCTGGAACTTGTCCTTGGAGGTTCCACAACTTGTGTTGCAGGCACATCAGTTATCAGTTCTTCCAGTGTTTCAGGTCTTTCACAGATGAACCATTTTTCAGCTGATTATGGTGCCTTTTATGTTTGAATCTTTTCCTTTTTACTATGTAAATCAACTTCCTGATTCTTGCTGATATTATATTTCCCACATTTCTTTGCCATCCTTATATGCTCTAAAGCATGTTTTTGAACTTGTTAATAATTTGTCAAACAATGATTTTATTTTCTAGCAAACATTTATTCTACTAGCGACATGCTTATGGTGTACTGGGGTTAGGTGTTAGATGGTAAACTCACAGAAAAGTTTGACTTGCTTCCTCATTTACTTTCTCAAAAATTGCTTTCTTCAACAATCTTTTGAATGTTCCCACAAGCTGTGGCACTTGTCCATTTGTCCTTGGGGGATATGGCAGGGTTATATGTTCAATGGAGAACATCTTACAAAAGTTTTTGGATTCTTTACCCATGAATTGCATTTTGTTATCAGAGACTATGGTATCTGGTATGCAATATACTGCAAACAGTTCATGCACAAAATTCACTGTCACTGAAGATGTTGGATTTTTGCACTTATAAATTTCCAGCCATTTAATAAAACTATCAACTACCACAAGATAATGTGATCCATTGAAAGGACCAGCAAAATCTATATGCAGTTTTAACTATGGTATGTCTGTCTTTGGCCAAGGTTCTGTCTTTGTGATAGGCAGTTTTGCTAGCTGGAGCACAGCCTCTGCAAGTTTCACTATGTTTTCAATATCTTGGTCTATTCTGATCCAATATACAAACTTCTCATCAGAGATTTCATTTTTAAAATACCAGGATGCCTGCTATGAAAATCCTTCAATATTTGCTTCTGTAACACACTTGGTATTACAAACCTTTGCCTGAACATTATGATACCATAGCTTAGTGAGTAACGAAATCCAGACTTAAACGCTTAGTGAGTAAGCGTTTAAGTCTGGATTTTGTTCTTTTTTACTTCCTTTCAATTTCTCTTTTATTTTCACAATAAAGGCATCATTTTCTACTTTTTTATTTTATTTCTTCCAGAAGAACTGGTAACTCTTGTACTACATTGCACAAAATGTTTTTTTTTTATTTCCATTTCACTTTATAGTGCTGCAATAACCATGCCCTCAAATGGTTCCACATTTTTAGGTATTAATCTTGATAATACATCCTATTCTCTTAATTTTCTAGATGGTTGGTACTCCATCATAAAATCATAGTTTAATAAGATGGTACCCCAGTGTTGTAGTGTATTAGCTCTATGTGTATGTATTCCTTTCTTTGAACCATATATTGTTAATAGAGTTTTTGGTCTGTTTGCAACCTAAAATTTCTTCCCTGAATAAATTTATGAAATTTCTTTGCAGCAAATATAATTGCAAGAGCCTCTTTTTCTATCTGGCTGTAATTTCTCTCTGCTGTTAGTAGTGAGCGTTAAGCAAGAGTGAAGGCTTTCATTTTCCCACCATCATATTTGTATAAAATCACCTTTCCAATATTGTACTCACTAGCACCTGATACCACAACATTTTCTGCATTTGGATTGAATGATAAATCTGACATAAGTATTTTTTTCATTTTGTCAAACACATTTTGACAGTTATCATTCTAGTTCCACTTTACTCCTTTTTTTAAGTAGATAATTCAGTGGAGCTTTCAAACTATGCATATTATATACTTATATCTGATAGTAATTAACCAGTCCTAGAAAAGCTTGTAATGTAGTCACATTTGTTGTTGGAGACATATTTTTAATTGTACTTGCCCTTGATGGATCTGGTTGAGAGCCATTTTTATCAATAATTTGCCCAAGGTATTTAATTTTCAGCAAAAACAATTTGCATTTTTCTTCACTGATCTATACTCTCTTAGTTTTTCCAAAATTGTTTTCCTATGCCAAACATGTTCTTTAAATACACTTTTGATTAAAATGTCATCCAGATACACCACTGTGAAATCGCAGTCTGCAAGCATGGTATCCATCGCTTGTTGAAAAATAGCTAGTACCAGCTTTATATGCACAGAGGATTATATAATCCTCTGTGCGTATTTATGGTCATTAATTCATATCATTCATTTTCAATCTGAATTTGTAAATATGCTTCAGAGAGATCCAGTTTTGAAAATATTCTTCCATCTTTTAACTTCAAAAACATTTCTTCTGGTAATGAGTAGTTATATGTTTCTAATCAAGTGTTTAATCTTGCCAAGAATTCGCACAAACACAAATTTTATCATTTTTTACTTTACATACACCACTAGTACAGCCCATTTTGAATGGCTAATATTTTTTCTATTAAATCAATTCTTTTGAGTCTGTCCCATTCTTCATTGACTTGTACCAAAGTTCTGAATGGTACACTCTGTTTTGACTTAAATACTGACATTGAACTTTTTTTACTTGAAAATCTGCCTTGAATTTTGAACACCTACACAGTTCATTTGACAGAACATCTGGAAAATATTTTTTTTAATTCTTCCTCAAGATTTTCATACTTACTTTTTAAATTGGTCACTTGTCCACTTACATTTTTGCAATAAACATTTATCAGCAAATTCCTAAGTTCAAATATGCAGTCAGTAAATTCATAGCATTTTTTGATACATAAGCTTTAGTTTTTATATGCTTATTATAAAATTACACATTACAAGTCATTTCTCAAAAAAAAAAAAAAATTTCTCACCAGAAAATGAAATTATGACTTTTGAAGTCTTTTTTAATAAAGGTTTTCCAATTTCTTTTCCAATTATTGAAATATCACTACCAGTGTTCAGTAGCATTTTCACACCCACATTTTTTATTTTCACATTCACAAATTCTTTTTGTTTTTTGTGCAAGTGGTATAATGTTTAAAGTCTCAGAATTGGAAATTGTCAAGCTGAGTTCAAATTCTTGTTGAGAATGTCACATTAGGTTGCAATAGAATTTGTATTTTATATGAATACTACCTTATGAAAATTTTGATGTAGTAGAATGGGGATTCCTATATAGGTTCAGGGGGCCCCTTATCATAGATTGCAGGAAGGCCCAAGAACCTTGTACTGGCCTTGATGGATGACTGCTTGGGAATACCAGATGTTGTAATCTTGGATGTAGGGGTGGTGTTTATGGATAACAGTTTCAGAATTGGAATTTAGCTCTCCAATTTTCAAATCAAAGAGTCGAATTCCAATTCCAGTTGGGTTTATTATATTCACTTACTGCAAATACCCTTGGGAAAGCTATAAATTCATTCTTTATCCCCACAGATATGGGCTAAATGGTAAAGCAGACCAAACTCTCTAAACATGACTGGCAACCAGTATAAAAGGAAAACCACTCTGAATTCAAAACTGCATGTGGCCCTTGAAATGTAACTAAAATTTGCTCAGCATAGTTGCAGTATATAAATCAGACAGCGAGATCTCATCATTTTACAGTTGAAATTGCTAGATGTAACGATGAGTCAAACATTTTCTTTGTCATACATCTTGCTTGTGGAACGTTCTTCTGGCATTTTACTTTCCAGTTAATTATGATCTTCAAAAATAGTTTTTGGAAGAAAGGAGATATGTTGCATGATTCTGGATATCTGTCTAATTATCAGGTTTACAGCCATAACAGGTGTAAACACCAGTTCCCATGCGATCACCAAAGTTAAGCAATGTTGAGCCTGGTCAATACCTACATGGTTGACTGCTTGAGAATACCGGGTGCTGCAAGCTGGGATAGTGTCTCAGAATAGTTAATCAGAGAGCTGAGTTCCAATTCCAATTGGGTTGGTTATATTCACTTATGCACAAATACCCTTGGGTAAGGTATGAATCCACCTCTTCTCCTCCAAGCTATGGGCTAATTAGTAAGACTTATAACACTAAATCATTATTATCTCAAAAAAATTTTACAATCTAAAAATATTTTCTGACTTCAAACAACCTGAAAAGGGTTGATAACCCATAGAAAATGAACCAGTCAAAAACAATTAAGTGTTAATTATTTATAATTTCCTATTATAGTAATAGGTTTTGCAGAAACAAGGTATGTTGTCTGCTTCTTGGTCTCCCATTATAGTAGTAGTTTTTGAGAAAGGTGATATGGTAACAGCAATTTATTTTCAACTTACTAAATTACTTTTTCTTTTAATTACAACTGCATTCTTTAAGCTGAATGGTCATACCTATTATAATGAACAACTAATGCATTCATTGTATTGTTCTGAAAAAAATATTCCTTTTCTACTGACATAATTGTAGAGATAAAATTCCTAAATTACTCAAAAAAATTATAAGCAACAGAACTGAAAATTCATTTAAAATTACTTAAATATAGCCATCAGTTTTTTAGTATTTTTTGATAGAACAAGTAAACTATTACAGGTAGAAGCCACATCTGGTCTGGGGCTTCTGCTATGTATTTAGAGATTCTTTATAAAATACAAAGAAAAATCTGCAATGTTATTGGTCCTGACCTTGCATTTAGGCTCCAGTTTTATACATACACAGAATGTCAGAGTTTATTATACAAGTCATTGTTTCCAAAGATAGAATTAATATTAACCAATCAATGCTGGTAAAATTTTCAATATATAGCTTTATTTTGAGTATTATATCCTTTCTTCCTTCCATCAGCATGGCTGATGCTAACCTCCAGGTGAGTGACTTGTTGTGCCTACTCAGGTTAATATTCTTTGCTAACATGAAATGGAATGATTATACTGAATCAGTTGCTAGGTTTGCAGCTAAGAAAGTTGGTTCAATGTGTCATGTCGGACAATTTTTCTCTCCAGAGTCTATCTTATATGTTTATAAGTCTAACATTTGAATACTGCTGCGTAATATAGTGTAATACTCCTGCTATATATTTAGAGTTTCTTTGTAAAATATAAAGATGAAGCTGCAATGTTATTGGTCCTGATCTGGCATCCTTCAGTCACTTTCCCACCACTACAGTGTCATTATCCTGACCCTTTTCTATAAATACTTTCATGGGAATTATTTGCATTAACTTTCCATTTTTATGAATATAAGTGCAGTACAAGATTGGCAACAAGATCTCACCAATTTAGACTTGAATTGGCTAGATGCAAACATAATTTCAATGCTACTAGTTTCTTCTCTTGCATTTTTCACTTGTGGAACTCTCTTCCAGCTTCATGCGTTCCAGCCAACTTTGACCTTCAAAAATTTAAATGCAATGCCAATCGTTATCTACTTGATTCCTGTTCTTTTATGGTTTGTACTCCTTAATAACATCTCTCTTTTTTCTTATTCTTTCACACTTCTTGTGTCTTAGTATAATTACTGCCTTGTTTTTTATATTAAATATATATATATATATTAATATATATATATATATATATATATATATATATATATATATGTGTGTGTGTGTGTGTGTGTGTGTGTGTGTGTGTGTGTGTGTGTGTGTGTATGTGTATGTGTGTATATATATATATATATATATATATATATATATATTGAATTGACAGCTTCAAACAAAAAGATTATAAATGTTGACGAGAAAATAAATGACTGACTGCTCAATGCCCTCCTTGGCGAAAACTTCTAATTCTCATTGTCACAGCCAACCAGAAAGTATAATGAACGGCAGCATGGTTCATCTCAGGTATCATTTATCTGAACTGTTACCCTCAGGATGACATTTTAGTTCTATTGGTTCTAGAACAAAGCACCTGAGGGACAGCTTTTATGCTTGGGCCCCACGTAAAATGAATGCTGCTTGCACGCTGACAATTTTCAACATATTTTCAACCTTATTAATTTTCTTCATTTGATTGTGTTTTTTTTTTTTTGTCTGTGTGCATTGGTGTACCCAGGAAAATTTCACTGTGTATTCCATAGGAATAAGAACATTATATATATAAATATTTATATGAAAATATAGGAAGTTAATTACAGTTTATAATATTTGACTTATTGGAAGTATAATATTATAACATTATACTAGCAAAATCCCCATCTTACAAAAATTTCTCTTAATAATAATTTTAAAATAATTCAGCAGACAATGTTATTTTATTTATGGTAACTAGATTTTTGGTGATTGAGTTACTTGCTTTCCGTCATGTGTGTCTGAAAAACTGTACTTATCATGGTTTCTTGGCCTTTTGGCTAAGATCAAAATGTAGTATCTGTTCTCATCATTTTAATCTGATTCTCTCTCTTTACTTCTATCTTCCCTTTTTCCTTTCTTTCATTTTCTCACTGAGACCAAGTAATATCTTTTCCACTCTTGCTACACAATCAAAATGGAATAGTTATTGGCATGGTGTAAAAGTTATGCAAAGTAACACAGGGAGGGACAAGCACAATTATAATAGAAAAATATGTAATATTATCTAATATTATAATATATAATATACTACAATAATATAAAATATATATTATAATATATAATATATTACAATAATACAACATATAATATTATAATATATAATGTTATATAATATTACAATATTATAATATATAATATATATAAATAGTATTAATTTTATAATGCAACTCAAGGGTTGTTCATCATATTGTAAATAAATATATGCAATTGTATAATTTTTTGAATTTTAATTTCAGATATTTATATATATTATAATATTGTAATATTATATAACATTATTATTATTATTTCATTATGTCATTATGTCATAAGAACTAATCTTAAAAGCAAAATGTTAAGTTACTGTGTTATGGCAATACAACATTAGAAAATTTAAAAAAATGTTGAACAGAGATCAATGAACAATCAAAAAATAAATTGAAAACATTAGTAAGAACAAAGGAATTAAAAAACTGGCTTCAAAAATGTTGCAAGAAGCGATTTGAGAAAAATTAAAAAAAGTAATAAGCATGAAAAGTGGATTCATCAACAAGAAGATATTTTAAAAATCTAGCATTGCCAATGTAAACAAAGAGAATAGGTTTCAAATATTAAGAACATTGGCTAAAAACATGAAAGAAACCAAACTATAACCTTAAGTAAGCATCACAAACTGAAACTATTATTAGTCTCGACCTGGCATCTTGGTTTCAATCACTTTCCTACCACTGTGCCTTTTCTATAAATGCTTGCATGGTAATTGTTATTATGATCTTTCTTCTATACTAGGGGATATATGCACATTGGCCTCTTTTATTTCTACCCCCACTTTCTTTAGTCTAATTTCCCCCTCCCTAGTTAGGTGTTCAGAGATGTCAGATCTCTGGTGGATGTGGGACACTTTTTCAAGTGTGCTTTTTGTATTCGTTGATGTGTTTGAATGAATGTTTCTTCCGTCAAATGATTTTTCTTAATTACCTAGTCTCACATTAATTTCACCCAGTTAACTGATTTTTCTGCCACAATTAAGGATTGTGGGTGGGAGGTTATTACTAATATTATTTTAGTTTCCTGTATATAAACTGTATTCATTGTAAAAACTTATTGGGGTTTAATTTTTTAAATTTTGTTATTTTTATTCCCCACCTGCCACAGACAAATTGTACATTTGGGAACAAGTTAGGACTTTAGAGACTTTGTAATGTAATCTGGTCCAGTGATTCTGCTATTTAGAGATTCTAAATAAAATACAAAGAAGACTTTGCAATGTTATTGGTCCTGACCTGGCATCTCAGTTTCAGTCATCATTAATAGTAACTTCCCTGTGCCTTTGCTATAAATGCTTTCATGGTAATTGGTCTGATGAGTTTTCCTCTATTGGCTTAGATTTAAATGCTTTGTTTTATTCACCTCCCCCCACACACAGATAAAATTATACATATGGGGACTAGTTAGGACTTCATAGAGATTATGTGGTATTATGGTGGCTGTAATAAGAATGGTAAGTAAGTATGTGTTGTTTTGTGTAAGGAATATTGTGGTATTTTTGGGTCAGTAAATGTGGCTAGCTAAGTTTAATTATAAGACAGAAGAAGACCAGCCTTCTCCATCTCCACTCTTGGCCTTGTGCCACATTTTTGTATTAAAACAAAATAAATATCACTTTCCTCTATGACACCTAGACTTTATGAATTTAAGTGTAGTATGAGATTGGCAACAAGATCTCATTATTTTACAGTTGAATAGGCTAGATGTAACTATAAACACTGTGCTAAAAGTTTGTTTTCTTGCACTTTTCACTTGTGGAACTCTCTTCTGGGCTTCCCTTGCAATCATGGTTCTCCACAATTTCCTGTCCTTTGTAGCTCTTAATAATTTTTTCTTTTTGTTCTATCTCCCAAAACTTATTCCACCATCCATTTAGTCAAGCTTGCTAATTAGATTATCCTCTATCTCTCTTGCCTTCAATCTGTCCTGTGAGTATCAAATTTTCCAAACCTTCTTTTTTCATTATGTGCCCTAGAAATTTCAACACTCTCTTTCTGATGTTAAGTATAAGCATCCTTTTTGTTTTCATTTTATCACTTGACAAATCTACTACTGTGACCCTCAAAGAGTTTTGATTAATTTTTGATGAGCATTATTTCTGCGTGAACACAGGTTTTTGAGTGGCAAATGCATTTCAAGTCTGGTCAAGTATTGGTTCAAAAAGATGAGCACTCAGGGTAAACAATTATTGGCAAAATGCCAGATACTGTGGAAAAAATTGTGAACTCATCCATGAGAACCATCGATGAACAATGCATCAGCTATCTCACATGATTGCAATCAGTTATGAAGTTTGCCAGGAAATCCTACTTGGAGAACTTTCCAATATCACCTTGGACACT